TATGGGGCAGGTAAGAACAAAGAGTTAAAGATAAATTACAAAAAAAAAAAAAAAAAGTTAAAAAGAAATTCCAAAAGCTGCCTAAGAATACAGTGCTCACATGATAGCATTAGAGAAACTTGGAAGATTTCTCCTACAAAAGACCAGGGCCAGAAACTAACAGAACATCTCTTAAGACCTTGAGGAGATAGTGTCACATCAGAATTCTACATACAGGGAAAATATAGAGAAAAATATGTATTCCCAATAAATGAGCCATGAGAAAAGATATCACCAGTAGATAAACACCACAGCAAAATACAGAAGAAAATTCCTAGTGTAAAGAAAAGTGACACTGAATAAAACTCAGACCTAAACAAATAAAAATTACTGAAGTATGGTGATATTTTAATTGTACTGAAATGTGATTTTATTTGTATGTTAATAAATAAAGTTGCCTGGGGGTCAGAGCTAATAGCAAGCCATAGCAGAAACTGGGCGGTGGTGGCGCACGCCTTTAACCCCAGCTCTTGGGAGGCAGAGCTAGGCAGATCTCTGCGTGTTCAAGGATACAGACAGCATGGAGACACACGCCTTTAATCTCAATACCAACCATAGAAGACCTGGAGGTCTGTACAGACAGGCAGTGACGAGGAGGTCAAGTGGTTGGGTTTACAACCAATGAGAAGGCAGAATAGAAAGTCAATAAAAAGCACAAACACACAGGAAGTAGGTCTCTTGCAGAGGGGAAGGACAGCAGCGGCAGTGAAGGGTAAGGTTTTTAGCTCTGACCTTTTGGCTTTCATCTCTGAATCGGCTCTGTTTTCTTATCTAAAAAGACGGTTACATCTACACTGAAGTTAAAAAAAAAAAATCTTGTAATGGACATAAAAGATTGTATTCTTAATTTAAAACACAACTAAGTATATTATATAGTAGTGCTTTATAATATTATTCTTGTATTACATTAGAAATATATCACAATATATGAAGTACAGTAAATGGCAAACTGAGCTATATTGTTGCAAAGACCCTAACTTTATATTCCACAGTATTAGGGCTGTTTGCTCATTTCTCCTGTCTTCTGTCTCAGGAGCCGGCCTCAGACATGTTCTGTAGCAAAGACAACTGTAAACAATGGATCTTCCTGCCTCACACTCAGCTGAACTGACATTACTGGAAGACACTGTGATAAGTTAATAACATATAACCCCGAAAGTGGCTAGATAAGAATACTAGCCACTAAACCTGAAAATAATTTAAATGGAATTTTTAAAATATTAACTTGAAGACTTTGAAAACCTAAGGAAACATATTATAAACCCTAAGGCAGTGATATAATAATACCAGGAGGTAAAACTGAAGAGAATTTAAATGAATATAGAAAATGCTTTCATTTATCCAAAAGAATACAAGAATATAAAATTAATTTGGAAAAAAATACATGTGACAAATATGGGAAGAATCAAAATAGAAGACTTAAACGCAATCATAGCAACAATTACACCATGTATAAATTCAGCATCCAGTTAAAAGGCAAAAATTATTAAACTGGGTAAAACAACAAGACACATCTAGATGTCTACTGACCCACTTTAAATATATATAAATATAACCAAACTGATGTTTAATGATCCGAGGGTCTGAGGGTGTGGCTCAGTGAGCTTGCTTGACATGTACCAGGCCTGGGATTTGAGAGGTCCAATAAAAGGGAAGAGAATTTTCTTAATTACGTGAAAACTGTGCATCAGTTGGAACAATGATGCACCTGACACATGCAGCGTACAGGAAGAAGGTTTATTTTGGTGTCTACTTCTAGGGTCCAGCTCACTGGGCTAGAGAAGTCATGGCTGCAGGAGCTTTAAGCGGCTAGGAACACTGAAACCACAGTCGGGAAGCAGGAAAAAAAAAAATCAATGTTTGTGCTCAGCTCCCTCTCCCCTTCTCACTGTCTGGGCACCCAGCCCTTTTTATGATACTGCCCACATTTAGTGTGGGTATTCCCGCCTCAATCCGCTAATCTATGCAGGGCCTCACGGACATGCTCAGAAGTCCGTCTCTTCTGTGAGTCTAGATCCTGTCTTGGCAGTCAATATTAACCATCGAGACATATGTACATTCTCCTGTGGCTGTGTGAGCACCAGGCAGACCTCAAAGTAAGTTTGCCAGAGACATGGAGGGCCAATTCATAACAATGAAAGGGTCAGTTCACAAGGAAGGTATAACAATTCCAAACATGTATATCTAATAAAATTTCAAACACATAAAGCAAATCTAAATCTCCTTTTAGTTACAAAGTTATAGAATGACAAAGCAAACACAATCAATAAAGACATAAGAGATTTGAACAACATTGTCAATAAACCTAATCTAAATGAAAAATAGAGAACATTAGCCACAATAACTATAAAGTACATCCTAACTAGCCAAAGCACACAGAGTATTGACAAAGATGGACATACATGAATCCACAAAATGTCTCCCAAACCTGTTAAAGCATTATGAAGGAAATTTACCCAAAAGAAATTTCACTAGAAACAAACATGATTAAACTCTTAGGAAAATTCAGCAATGTTTAGAAACTGATCATACTACATATATCCATAAATAAAAGGATATTAGAAATTAATTTGAACTGAATAACAGTGAAAACCTAAAGAAAATGAGAATTTATGGGAGTCAAAGCCAAGTCTGGTGATAACAGCACATCCTTAACTGCTTCTATTTTATTTTTATTATTATTCATTCGTTTGTTTGTTTGTTTGTTTATTGGTTTTTCAAGACAGGGTTTCTCTGTGTAGTTTTGGTGCCTGTCCTAGATGTCACTCTGTAGACCAGGCTGGCCTTGAACTCAGATCCACCTGACTCTCCCTCCTGAGTGCTGGGATTAAAGATGTGAGCCACCACCACCCAGCTAACTGCTTCTATTGTCAAAAGAACTCTCCCAGGAGCTGCAGAGAGGGCTCTCTGACTAGAGTGTTGACTGCTCCTGCAGAGGACCTGGGCTTGAGTCCCTGCACTCATTGCTGGCTCAAAAGCACCTGTAACTCCAGTTCAGGGCATGTGACACCCTCTTCTGGCCTCTATGGACTCCTGTACATACACAGTGCACATAAATTCATACAGGTTCACATCTATACACAAAAAGTCAATAAATAAACAAATACCAACTTTGAAAATGATAAGTCATTAAAGCCCAGAGATGTAAGATTCTACCTTCAGGAGGTAGAAAAACAACAACAAATTAAGCCCGCCATGATGAAAAGCAGGGAAAACGATGAAGAACCAGAAAGCAATAAACTAGTAAAGAGACACAGAATATGGAATATTTTAAAAGCCAAATGTTGGTTCTTTGAAGCACAGATTATGAACAATAGAAAATAAAAGAGAAAAATGAACAAATAACTAATATTAGGGATAAAGAAGACATTGTCACAGGCTGCAGCCTACCTTAAAAGGTAATAAAGGATTACAATGACCAAATTTCACACATTGTTCAACTTGTTTCTTTTCCCCAAATTTGTAAAAGATTTCTAAACTGAGCTTTTGCCAAATGTTGCGAATGAGTAAAATCAGCTGACTGAAGTGTTCAGATGGAGACTAACTTTGGAGATCCAATTTGTGCAATGCAGGCAATTAACACAATTATTCTCTATTTTCTGACAGTACTCAGCAATAAAGAATAGGAAGGCTGGGCTCGGACGAACAGAGGTCACAGGCACAGAGGAACTGGGGAGGAGGGGGCATGTGGGTCACATAACTACACTAACCAACAGGACCCGGGTGGAAACAGGAGGAAATGCAGCCAAGGGCTTAACAACGCGAACAGTAGGAGGACTCTGGTCCAATGATCAAAGAGAAGACTTCCAAAACTTCACTACACAAGTGTTACAAAGACAAAGAGTCTCAGAGATCATGGCCTATTTCATCAGTCACACAACCATCAGACAATAAAGCCAAAAATAGTCATCATTTGGACACCCCATAGTGGGCAACACATAGTGTGATGCCAGACCCACTGTAGACTGTGAACAAATAAGGGGTAACCGGAAACTGGCATGACAGATTTAATATTTACCTAAAACACAATTATAACCTCTCATCTACCGAGAAAAGGTATTTTATTCTAAGCAAACTATAAATGAAATATAGACCACCTGGTAAACTGAGATTATGCAATCATATGTGATATCTTTCATTAGGAATGAAGTTGAAAGAACATGTACTAAAAAAAACACCACAGAACCATATATAGTAAAAATAATAATGATCACAACTGTTGTGATGGAATTTAAATCACAGGAACCATCCTGGCTCTGTATACATTCATCCACATCTGAAGAATTTCGACACGGTCCCTATAATCCGTTACTGACCACCGTGAGATTAACCATAAACCTAAACGGACTTGTGCTGTGGATGATTGATTGGTCAATAAAACACTGATTGGCCAGTAGCCAGGCAGGAAGTATAGGCGGGACTAACAGAGAGGAGAACTGGGAGAACAGGAAGGCAGAGAGGGACACTGTGAGCCGCCGCCAGGACCAGGAAGATGTAAGGTACCGGTAAGCCACGAGCCACGTGGCAAAGTATAGATTAATAGAAATGGGCTGAATATAAGAGTAAGAGCTAGACAATGATAGGCCTGAGCTAATGGCCAAGCAGTTTAAATAATATAAGTGTCTGTGTGTTTATTTTATAAGTGGGCTAAGGGACTGCCGGGGCTTGGCGGGACCCAGAGAGAAAAACTAGCTACAGACTTGCTCTTCCTACAACAGACTTCAGAAAACAATATAAAGTAAAACAACAGATTGTTACGCTCATTTGCAGTGGGAAGATTAAGTCAGTGAAATTTGGTCTCAGTGCCACACACATTCCAACTATCAAGTAGATTTCTTTGTCAGTCAGATATCTCAGTGCTGGCCGCAAATTCTAACAATTCTTCCATCGGCAAATGCATTAACCATAACTCTGTCAAAGTAAAATAATACTTAATGCAACATTAGATACTTAATGCTTACCTGTCTCAATAGTTTCTCAATGGCTGACATCACCATAAGGCCTCTCCAAACAAGTGGCGCAGTCTCTTCAACCAAGAATCCCATAGACATACTGCAACAGCAATCCAAAATTATAACTTGCTTGTACAAGTTAATAGCACTCTCCAGAAAATACAAAATTTTAAAAATACACTCACCAAGCAATACCATAATTCAGAAGAGGCCTCATTAGGTTGTCTGAAATAAGAGGAAAAACATCTCTTTTAGAAGAGTCCAGCATTGCACATAGCACACTTTCTTCACTTTAGACACACGTGGGTTACAGAATGGTTAACCTGGGCTAATCAACATATCTATTACCTCTGACATTCATCATTTCTTTGGGGTAAGAACACTTAAACGACTTTTGGCAATTCTGAAGTACATAATAATGTTGTTCAACAGATCACTGGAACTATTCCCCTGCCTAAATGGTACCATGCATCATTTGATTAAGAAACCACATACTCTTGGATTAAAATCATTCCTTTTCTTATTCACCCTGGTGATGATTAATCTTCACTGTCACTTGACTGGTTAGTCACCTAGGAAACACTCCTTTGGCTGTGGCTAGGAGGGTGTTTCCATGGAAGCTTAAGGAGGATGGTAGACCCACCCTGAATGTGAGCAGCATCCTGTGCAAAGGTATCAGATTGGATAAACTGGATTAACTGTGGATGCACTATGACCAGCCACACTACACCTTCCTCACCACAAGGGATAAAATCCACCACAATGGACGAAATCTACTCAAACTGCAGCCAAAAAAAAAAAAAAAACCTCTCTGCCTCATAATTGCCTTTTGTCAGGTATTCTATCACAGGACTGAGGAAAATGACTAACACGATCCTTAGACTCACACCACACGATGGTAGGACTTCACCTCTCCCTCATCCAACCTCTCCGACTGGTGTGGTCCTCCTACAGTCACTGGGCCAGGGCCCAGCCTGAAGAGTCTACCTAATCCTACCATCCACACCCCCTCCCCAAGGCTTGGTTCTACCTGAGGCCCAGCATGTTGGTGCCCCAGCCTAGTTTGGGCAGCATCACTCCCAATCTCCAAACTTTGGCCAGGACACACATGCTACTCCCAACCTCTAGACTTTGGCCAGGAGGTGCTTCCTGCCACCAATAAAGACAGTTTCCTACCACCTGACTTCATTCCTCCTCTGCTACATCCAGCCTCCAAGCCCAGTAAACCCTGCACGTCTTGCAATGGGACCCAGTCTAGAAAGTGCACCAGACCATCCCCACCATGTACCCTCTCCAATCCCCAGATCTAGGACAGGTGGCACATCCTGTGCTCTGGCTAATGTAGTCAGCCCAGGCAGCCACCCCAAAGTTCCACAGTTGGACCAACACCCACATGCTGTATAGCAGACCACCTATCTTTATCACACCTATACCATTGCCAACCATCAAGCCCACCTGTCCTACAAGCTCTGTGCCCTGTCCAGACTTCTGTGCCCACATCAGACCCAGAACTAACAAAAGAAATTCACATGCCCAGGTCTTACAGCAAAAGCACAAACAATATAAAAGATCAAGATAATATCCCCCCCCAAAAAAATCCACCATTCTTATACCAATCTTCTCCAATGAGAACAAACACAGAATTTAAAACCACAGAATATAAAAGAACAATCATGAACGTCAAAGAATTCAAGACATTTAAGAAAGACGCAAAGAAACAGCTCAATGAGTTTACAAAGAATGAACATAAGGAAATAAGGGTGTGATGACTAGGAAAAGACAAACATAGGACTGAATGAAATGACAAATAAAACCCAGAATTTGAAAATAAAATTCAATGAAAGACAGAAATATTGAAGAGAGCTCAAGTAGAAATGAAGAAGGGATTTAAAACTCAATAACCCAGCTAGAAAACTCAAGGGAAAGCTTAACAAGTAGAACTGATCGAGTATAAGATAAAATAATCAGGACTCAAAACTAAAATAGAGGAATTGGAACACACCAGCAAAGAATATGAATGTTTTTTAAGCAAAGGAAAGGAATATGCAAAACTGTGGGCCACAATGAGAAGACCAAATCTTCAAATTATAGGCATAGATGAGAGAGAAGAATCCCAGGTCAGTGGATAAAATAGATGTTCAAGGACATCATAGAAGAGAACTTCCCCAAACTAAGGAAAGACACACCCATACAGATACAAGAGGCAACATAATACCAGATAGACAAGCAAAGAAACTCCACATGGAGTATCATAGTTAAAACACTAAGTACACATAACAGAGAAAGAATACTGAATGCTGCAAGAGAAAAAATATAAGTCATATGGAAAGGAAAACCCATCAGAATAAAAGCTAATTTCTCAATAAAAAAAAAAATGGAAGATCAAAAGTGCCAACCCTGATTACTGTCCCATGCAAAACTATCTGCCACAGTTACAGGAAAAGGAAAACTGGATTTCCAAGATACAAACAGCATAAAAACATATCCACCAAACCTTGTACTCTAAATATTCCCCTTTCTCTAAATTTATAGATAAACTGGATGAAAAATAGAGAAACATCAAATTTAAATAAAATGCATTTTGTTATTCAGGATTGTTTTAGCTATCATGGGTTTTTTATTTTTCCATATGAAGTTGAGAATTCCTTTCAAGGTCTGTAAAAAATTGTTTAGGATTTTGACGGAAGAACTGCTGGGGGTATCAAGGTCCCCGAGTTCAAGCCCTCCACAGAGCTATACTAATAAAAATCACATGGTATTGGCATAAAACAGACATGTTGATCAATCAAATTGAAGACCCTGACATAAATCCACATACCTATGAACACCTGATTTCTAATGAAGAAGCTAGAAATATACACTGGAAAAAGGAAAGCATCTTTAACAAATGGTGCTGGTCAAAACAAATGTCACTATATAGAAAAATGAAAATAAATCCATATTTATCACCCCACACAAAACTCAAGTCCAAGCAGATCAAAGACATCAACATAAAACCAAACACACTGAACCTGATAGAAAAGAAAGTAGGGAACAGCCTTGAGTGCATTGGCACAGGAAACAACTTTCTGAACAGAACACCCATAACACAGGCACTAAGATCAACAATTAATAAATGGGTGTAGGCAGAGTTTTTCTCTGCTGGCAGCCATTCTCAAATAACCACTCAGGCACTTAATACTGTAAATGCTCGGCCAATAGCTCAGGCTTCTTACTAGCTAACTCTTACACTTTAACCCATATTTCTTATCTACCCTCTGCCACGTGGCACATGGCTTATCTCATTTTCTAAATGTCCTGTTTCCTCTGTGTCTACTGGCATCTGACTCCGCCCTTCTCCTTCCCAGCATTCTCAATTTGGCTTTCCTGGCTAACCTTATTCTGTTCAGCTATTGGCCAGTCAGCTTGTTTATTAAACTGATCACAGCAACAAGTTTTCACAGTGTACAAAGGGATTATTCCACAGCAAATTGGACCTCATGAAACTGAAAAGCTTGTGCAAAGCAAAGAACACCATCAATTGGCCAAAGACACAGCCTACAAATGAGAAAAGATGTTTACCAACTCCATATCCCATAGAGATCTAATATGCAAAATATATAAAGAACTCAAGAAACTAGATATTAAAAAACAAATAATCCAATTTAAAAATGGGGTACAGATTTACTGAGATTCTATTAGGAAAACAACCTGACTCAAATAAATTACATTAAAAACTTAGGCTTGCAGGGGCTGGAAAACTAGATCCATCTTTCCCACTCTATACTCCACCCCACCCCAAAAAGAGTCCATTCAAGATCTATTCAAAATGGATCAAATGTAAGATAGAAACTTTGAAAGTGCTAAAGGAAAAGGTAGAGGGAACGCTTGGGAATGCAATCACAGGCAAAGACTTTTTGAGAAGGACTCCAATAGCTCAGGAGATAATCCCAGGAGCTGACAGATGGGACTACATGGAATTAAAACACATCTGCCCAGCGAAGGAAACATTCATCGCAGTGAAGATGAAGATGTGGTCCACACAGTAAAAATCCTTGCCAACAGAGGTTACCATCAAGAAGGCTAAATCCTTTCAGCTGAATCATCTGCTCAATAAATGATCTAATGAACTGAACGGTTCTCAAAAGACCAGGGCAGGCAGAGGTGGGTTACAAATGAAAACCCATTGTACAATGAGCAGTCTACACGAGGATGCTTTAATCAAACCCATCACTTTGCATGCTGACCCAAAAAAACTTCAAAGAAGTAATATTTTTAAACAAAAAAACTTAAGTTCATTTAAACAGAAACTGCTAGCTCCTTAGAATACAAATGGCAGAACATACAGGCATGCTGGTATCTCATGTTCTTGTCTGTGAATTTAGTGAATGAAATGGTCCTATCTAGGGCTAGGAATAGCAAAAAGGACAGCTGAGATTTTTGTTTATTAGGCAAATTTTTACTGAGTTTCTGTTATCCCCAATCTTTCTGCTTATAAGGTAACATTTCTGACCTTCTTACCAAATTTATATGACATACAAAACTGATGTACTTTTTTGGACTCAATTTTTGTTATTATTTTTATTAGCCAGATATCCTCAATCCCAGCACTCGTAGGCAGAGGCAGGCAGATCTCTGTGAGATTGAGACCAGTCTTGTCTACATAATGAGTTCCAGGACAGCCAGTATACATAGAGAATCTGTCTCAAAAAGTACCTCCCCCAAATTATTTTTTATTTATTCTATTCAGGGGATGAGCAACCATGTGCCATAGTACAAGTACAGATATTAGAGGACAATTTTGCAGAATCCACTCTCTCCTTCTACCTTTATATGGATTTTAGGGATAAAACTGAGCTTGGCATGCTTGAGTAGAAAGCCTCTATACCATCTTGAGGGCTCTAAACTGGTCTCTCTTCTAAAATTCCTTTCTTAGTCAGTATTCTATTACTGTGAAGAGACACCATGACCACAGCAAGCTTCTAAAAGAAATCATTTAACTGGGGCTGGCTTACAGTTCAGTGGTCTAGTCCATCATCATCATGGTGGGGAGCATGGTGGTATACACGCAGACATGGTGCTAGAGAAGGAGCTGAGAGTTCTACATCCAGATCCACAGGCAGCAGGGAGAGAGAGAGAGACTGGGACTGGCTTGGGCTTTTGAAACCCCAAGCCCAACCCTAGGGGGGGCACTTCCTTCAACAAGGCCATACCTCCTACCTTCTCAAGGAGTGCCACACCCTGAT